ACTACAGAATAACACCGGACGTGAAATAACACCCAGTATGTCTGAGGCATCTTTAATTCCAGTAAAACCCCCAATAAAACCTCTTTCGTCCTTTTTCAAGTGACATTGGTGCCATTTTGAAGGATGGCAGTATTATTAGGTATAAAACATTTTTTAATTTCTCGTAATTATGATGTAAATGTACAAGAAACATACTTAAAAAGTACTATTATAAAGTCATAAATTGTGAGTAAAATAAAATTAAGCAATATTGTTTCTTGACAACAAAATAACAAAACAGTTTTCTCATCAAATGTAAAACTTTAATGTCAGAGGTTATTCAAATGTCTTTCTCTGTAAATGTTTTCCTATTAAATTCGCCATTTTCTTCCCGGAATACCACCCCTGTACCTAGGTCTGTAATTATAAATAGCATTTATTTGTTTACCGACAAGTAAGGATACAAATAATAATTGAGAACATCCTTTAAGTGGAGAATAAAATATGACAGAGAACTTTAGGCCACAGCTTGAAGATGGTTTAGATCTGACAGGCAGAGAGTCAGTGTTTCATTGTAGATGGTATTTTTTATGTTAATGATTTCCTTGTCCATGCAAAAAGACGACAAGTGTTTTCTACTCTATCCTATTCATACAAATTACGTAATGTTTCAAGCTGACGGTGTCAACACTTGATCTTCTACATTACAGGGAATTATGAGGATTTACGCTTGTCACATTTAAAAGTCTTCAGAGCTGGGGAGCTTTGGAAACCACCCAAGCGTCACACAAGAATGAATTGATGAATAAGCATGTGGATTTAAACTTTTCAATTTGACAGACAGCTGAAACAATGAGAAATAAAACTCAAATCAAGCTGTATTTTTAGCTGACTTGTCCCTTCTTTCAACAGGGTCAGCAAGGACACATCAGAGACTTTCTCCACAACCAGAAATAGAACCAATGTGTTCTAAAATATTTCAATATTTCAATCTTGGAATCATATGCTTTCATTTTTTTGTTTGCCACCTTGTATTGCAACTTGGCACTAATATAAATAAAGTTGGAACGTTTTAAAGCTGCACAAGACCTTGACAAACAAGTCAAGGTCAGTAAGAACCACAGATGCATCGTTTTCACTTTAATCAACACTTTCATTTGAAAACCAGCACATACACAATACAAAAAACAACTCATAAATACAAAATAATTAAGTAAATAAGTTCTGTCTGAAACAAAAACATTTTAAATATGAGGCCTCATTTACAAAAGAGGATTTTAATCGATCTTAAGATCTTTTCTTGTGACTTCCTTCTCATACTTGAATCTCGTGAGAAATGTCGGCCTCTTGAATGACACTGTTCTACAATGTGAGGCGTGGCAGAAGTTCCGCTGAATGCTCTTATGCTGCGTTCACACCGGACGCGATGCGATGTTTGGGGGCGGCGCGATTACATGTAAAGTCAATGCAGAGACGATTTGATTTGATTTGAATGCAGAGACGCGGACAGACGCGAATTCGCCAATCAGCGGTGAGGATCTCAGCCTGCCGTCACTGACGTTCAACCACACAACATCAGCCGTTAGCTGTTAGCAGTTAGCACACAGAGCTCACAGCTCCTCATATCTGTTCAGAAACTGGACAAAAGTTAAACAAGTACAAACCACAGACTGTCTGTGCCATGGCGAATACAGTCGCTGGTTTATTTATGTCTGTAGGCCGTTGTTATGAGTGTGGAATGAGCATATACAACGTTAGCTTAGCCTGGTCGACCCGATCTTCATTCAGAAAACAAGCATTTTAAAAGGTTTTTCGCCTGCCGTCTTGTCTGCAGACTTGTCAAAGCATTAATTCATGGTTGTTACTAACCGGTATCAGTATGTTGTTACTTCGGCATCATTTAGAAACGTGTATTACAATTTAATCACGGTAAAATATGTTCATTTTGTTGTAGTTGTAGCTCCCGAGCCAGCGCGTCTTGTTTGAATGACGCGAGTAAACACAGCTGACAGCCGCGGTGAAACTCGAGCGTTTAGAGCGAAGCGAATATTCGCATCGCGTCCGGTGTGAACGCAGCATTACAGTAAAACAAAATAACTGTTGTTTTCTTTGCAACAAACAGTTGCAGCACTTGCAGGGCATAGATATTTTTCTTGTAGTTTTCTAAATCTATTCTGGTACATTTTGGGCGGTTTTCCAAAAGGTTAATGTGATTTATTTAGATTTTTTTTTTTTTCGTATATTTGTCATTTATTTCCGGGAAACTTGTGATTTTTCCTGCTGCATTTGGGATATTTTCTGGTACATTTTGTAGTTATTTCTCTGTGCTACTTCATCCTGAGAGAATATCAACGTTTTATTGTCTTTTTTATCTCTACTATAATATTTGCATAACAGTGGTAGCTAAACATTTACAGATTTAAAGATTCATCAGTCTGTTTTTTAACTCCCCAAGTGGCTAAACTTTGAAGTTAAAAGTTTCTGACTTAAATCTCAGAACAAAAACAAAATAATTGCCATGTGGCCCTAATCCTCTTCCGTAGTTTTCTCACCATTTTTTTAAGTTCTCTTAAAAAAGGTTGATTAATCCACACATTTATTTGCCCATGCCTTAATTACATGTAAAATCAATTAAAAATTAGGTGGAAATATAATTTAAAACATCCCCTCGCTGCACATGTTTCAGATAAAATGCTTAAGCTGGACTTTAGACGTTTCTGATAGAGTTGTGTCCGGTGATGGTGCGATGGAGCAAAAATATCATTAGGGTTGAAATAAGACATATATATGAGCACTTAGAAGATATGAATGCTGAAAAGATGGAGTTTGATCCTAAGATTGTTTTCTAAATGAGGCCATACTGATGTCAAGAATAAGAGCAAACACAAAAAAGAGGGATAGTCACATTTTTCTACACACTGAAAGAAAAGGATCAGAGTTAAAAGAGTTATATGAAAGATTAAAGGTGAGGGCTGGGTCCAGGGGGGGGGGCACTGGTCTCTGTAGTGCAGGATGGTTTAGTAGGGACGGCCCCGCCGCTCCTGTCTGTGGTCACCTCTGGAAATAACAACACACTGACTCAGCAATGACAGAACAGGTGAGTTTGAGCTTGAGGGTTTTAAACAAATGATATGCTGATGTACAAAACTAAAATGGGAGCTCTTGGCCACACACATCCTTGATGGGACAAATCCTTGGAGACCAGCCCTATTTTCTCTCTTGAAATGCAAAATTGTGAGCAAAAAATGTGTGTTGAAATCGGAGGGAGAGTTAGTTAACGTTAGCTGTTAGCAGTCATGGGCAATACAGTCCTGCTTTGCTAAATAACAATACTAACAGCTAGTAGGGATTCCATTGAGTTCCATTATAACACATTTAAGTTTTTTGTTTTTTTAAATCAGGCTTTGTATTTCACTCTTCTACCGTGAATGACAACGTTTTCATGTCACTCATGTGATTATATTCACAATGATAACACACAATGATTCCTGATAATAAGAATGGACCACTAGAAACTGAGTGTTAATGTTATTCTTCGAACTTGACCTTGATAATAAAATCTGTAAAGTGTATTTGCCCACATTGGTGCATCCAGATTCCCTTTATTGCTCGACATTATAGCAAAGTTTAGATTGAGCTCGATTCCATAATACAGCCATAAAACAGAATCAAGGGTGAAACATATCATAATAATTCAACATAGACGAGCGCAAAAATAGATCAACTTTAAAAATAACTGGAACTGGAAAATCCTTACTTAAATTGCTGCTGTTTCAATTTTATTTTAAAGTATGAATAAAAAAGACTTTAAAGGAGACATGTCATGGCCATTTCCACTGATCATAATTCCATTGTTGAGGTCTACTAGAATAGATTTATACTGTGCATTTTTCCAAACATTGGTTTCTCATACAGCATCTCTGTAAAGTACGTGTATTCACTGAATTTCACTCTCTGCCTTTAACGGCTCGTTGTAGCTCCAATAGCTCCAGCCCCCACCCTCCCTGTGAGCACAGTGTGCTCTGATTGGTCGGGACGTTGTGAATCGCGCTGAGCTCCGTGGAGGTGTTGTTTCCTTGTTTAGCGATACACAGCCAAACACAGTCAAACTCATCCTGAGCACACACAAACTCACATCCGAAGTAAAAACAATAAGTGTGGCTTGATATTGAGTAAGAAAAAGGTTGATAAACGCTGTGAGAATGGGTCTGCAGAGAGAATTTTGCCGCGATCCCAACTGTCTGTTATCAGCCTGCAGCCAGGGAGGAGAAATCAGCAGAGCTGCCTGTGTGTGAGGAAGTCCGTGGATTGGTCAATTTGGACCAATCAGTGGGGGCTTAACGTAACGGCTCCGCGGACGTAACGTAACGGCTCCACGGATTGGTCCATTTCGTTCCAGGTACGGGATTACATCATCCCGTACCCGGAAGAATCAAATGGACAATGACGTATCTCCAACGAGGCGTTTTGGGGAGGTATTTTCTGTGTTAGAGTTTTACTCGCTACAGGGTGTACTTTGAGGGTTTTGACTCTGCACACCGTTTACATGCATAAAAACCTTCATAACACACAAGGGGACGGGTAATAACCGGAAAAGCATGACATGTCTCCTTTAAATCCCAAAAATGTAAATCCATTCAAACAACAGTGTAGGACTCTAATTGGTTGGCAGTATCTGGAACTCAGTGTGTGAACCACAAAAATGAGTGCGGTTTGTTTGAGTGTATCTAACCTTGCGTCCATCTTTCCAGGCCCGTATCCTCCGCGCTCGCCTCCTCCTCGGTCCCCTCTGAAGCCCCCGCGCTCGCCGCCTCGGCCCCTGAAGCCACCCCGGTCGAACCCCCCTCTGCGCTCGCCTCCTCCATAACCTCCTGACAGACGAACACGCAATTTGGTGACAAGTTGTAAACTTTTGACCGTTTACCCTGCGGAAAAATGTGTTCTGTCGCTGCGGGGTTGACTTGCAAGTGAGTCAACAGCTACATTCAGTAACATTAATGATAAGGCTGCAGGAGTCTTACCTCTTTCCATTGGGGACACCCCCCCGGCATCCTCAGGTTTCAGGGCCTTGCACTGGTTGCACTCATTACGCCACGAGAAGTTCAGGTTGCCACAGTTGCTGAGGAGAAATGTGCAGCAAGGACATACATTCAGATTCTGCAGTTTTATTACACCACACAATAAAATAAATCTCTTCTTCGTGCATTAAGTTGTATTATGAATTATAAACAAAGTGTATGAAATCATGTAGTAAAAGCTCTGATCCTTGTGCAGCGTAGACATTTTTTTTATAAATGTCCACACCCCTGTAGAAGAGTTAAAATCACATCAAATTCCAGACTCACGGGTTTGAACACTTCCAGTCTCCGGCTCTCTGTTGTCCTCCTCCTCCTCCTCCTCCTCCTCCACCTCCTCCTCCACCCCCCACATTGCCTCCATTGCCTCCATTGCCTCCATTGCCTCCGTTTCCTCCGTTTCCTCCGTTTCCTCCTGGGAAACCTCCCCCCCGCCCCCCTCCAAATCCACCACGACCCATCGAACCTGCAGGGAGAACAGAACCACACCAGTCAGATCTTCAGCTACTTTACCCGCAATACTTTCACCTGTTTAATGACCTGTGTGTGGGATTATAAGAGAGACATGTGACTGCAGACAGGAAGGTATTGCAAATGAAGAAAAGCAAAAGGAGATTCTGGTAATATAATCTTGTAATCTACCTTTTCTAGAGTCAAGAAGGAACAATTTAGGCGGAACCTCAAGACAACATAGTCAAGAAGAGTTTATAGGCACGTGAAGGATTTGCACAATATTCAAAATTGGCTTAGAAATATGAACATTTGAAGATATACTTTTTGGCAACCTGGAAGAATTCTCCACTGAGAAAGATCCCAGTGATACAATGGAAAGTTATTGAGCATCTGCCAAGTGGAATATAAGAGAGATGGGATTTTAGCCTTTGCAGACCATTTACATGCACAAAAACCTATATCACACTTTACAGGAAAATGAAATTAGGGTCGTTTAACAGAATGCCAGCCTTCAAAAAATAAATGTAGGTTTAAGGAGAGGCTCACCTCCTCGCCCTCGACCCCCCCTCATGCCACCTCGGCCTGCGAAGTCAGCTCTGCGGGTGGCAAAAGAAACCTTGATAGGATTTTCATTGAAGTCTTTACCTGTCGGGGGAAAAAAGAGACAAAAAAGAGAATAAGTTGAGACAAGAAACAAATGAGCCGTAAATCACTGACAGAATGACACTTAGAAATCTGAACAAGCAAAGAATTTAGGCTGGAATTCATGTCTGTCTGCAACAGAGCCCAACTAGTTCCTAGTGTGAAGGGGAAGGGAGTTTTACCACTCTCAAACGTCAAGAGTTTGACGACTCCTGCAGTTCTCTGCTGTTCCCTAAGCTCAGTTAAGTGGTTGACTTAGACTACCTCGTTGTTTTTCATTTTTGTCAATAATCTATTATTAGCAGTGTTTTTTATGATTAAAAGGAATAGTTAATAATTCATTTATTTACATTTTTTAATAACTAATACAAGCTTTTAGATTAAGCATTTATAAGATAAAAAGACAATGTGCGGTCATGCCAACACAACAGCAGTGACCCTTCAGACAAAGTTTTAAAGGTGGGACATATTTCTCCCTGGGAACTGATAAGAAGTCAGCAGGACAAGATCCTGAAAAATGATGCCAAAAAGAGAAAGGAAATCCCTGCAGCAGTCACTCTTCCTGCAACAGCAGCCCTGACGCTCCTCACAGAAGGAAATAAGCGCTGTGAATTACTTGAAAGTTAGGGAAGATCGCCTTCAGTCAATGTTTTAATCTGTCGAAATGATGATGATGATCTTTCCCTCATTGTTTAAGAAAGATATTGATCAATGACGGAAAGTATTTGGTAGCATGACCTCTGCTCAGCACGTTCCACTCTCTCATATTTTAGTACTTCAACTCAAAATATATTGTTCGATCCATCTTACTATTGATCCGATGCTTGATAAAGACAAACAGCTCACCATCGAACCAGTCGATGGCAGCCTTAGCAGAGGGGGGGTCATCAAAGGACACGGTGGCCTCCCCCTTCAGCTTCCCCGTCTCTCTGTCTGTGTACAGGTTGATCATGGGCAGGCCCGTCTTTTTGTTGATCTGAGAGGCAGATAGGCACAATGCAATGATATAATTAGGTCACGATACAACTCTGGGAAAAATTAAGAGACCACTCCAATCTTAAATCTCAATCTCTACATGTATGGCAGCCATTCCATTCCAGTGTCTGTTGAATCCCAACACAGAGAAATATTGTACATTCATTTGACTCAAACACATAAATAGTAAAACTGGAGAAACTGATAAGGCTTCAGTGGTCTCTTAATTTGTTTCAGAGCTGTAATTATCCGGCTAAATGGGGTCACGAATATGGGCATGTATGTGTCAGGAGGTTCAGTAATACAATTGTTTTAGAACTACTGAATTTGTACAGCAAACCATTGAAATCTTACATCAAGTCTTGAGTTTAATCAGTCTTAAAAGGGGCCCTATTATGCCTTTTTTTGTGAAATCATCAACATGTAACATTAGCTTCTATTGGCAAGCGCTTCAACACATTGTACGTGATAAGCTAAGGGGCTCTGGTTTCAGACAGAGGGGGAGAAGAGGTGCTGCAGCACAGGCATTATGAGAAAAATAAAGAGCTTTTTGAACATTAAAGCATGGAGACATGTCACAGTAGAGACACAAAATACAAATATGAACCTGAAAATGAGCAGAATAGTTTTCTGAGACATATGCCTTTCTTGAACGTTTTAATAAAAAAATGTAATAATAAAGATCTGAATTAGTTAATAATTTTGCTGCAATTAGAGTTTTTATTTTAAGAAGTTATTGTGTTTTTTTAGGCCCTGACACATTAAGCCTATTAGCAGCAGGAGTAGTGATCATGTTCAGCGAATCAGTACACGGGAAGATAAATGAAAATGAGGAAAACGAACAAACAACTTAAGTCCAAAGGGCACACAGAGTCTTTTGAACTATCTCATCTGTTCATTCTGATACTTGGATATTTTCCCAATGACATGGCCATCTGTAGTGAAGCTGAGTGATGAGGGCGAGTGGTGTAAACATGTTTTAATTTGTTTATTATAACAACAGCTTGTATTTCTACAGTCCTACATTTTCAGGTTTTCCATTTTTGACTGATGAATACAGACTACGCAGGTGAAAATCTTACCCGATTGTTTGCTGATAGCTGTAGACTTTCCCTTTGTTTAAAATGGGAATTTTTGGCAACTTCACTTGTACTCTTTAAATGTGTCTAACATCAACATGAAATGTTAAAGCGTTATCATTAGGGCACTTAACGGACACCGTACCTCCTTCTACCGTCTGTTAGTGTAAACACATACATAAATAGATACACTTATATATGACTTGATTGACACACACATGCAGCACTGTAGAGCTACCTTTATGATCCCGATCTGCTTAAAAAAGTCTGCCACTGATTCCACGGTGTAGTCGTCTCCCAGGCCCTGCACGAAGATGGTGTTGTTATCAGAGTTATCCTGGTACTGCACTGTGGGACCATAACAGGGGGAGGTGTTAAGAGAGAGGCTAACAGGGCAGTGAACATCTCACTACTTTACATCATCACATTTCATTGTCTTTTTGTATTAATTTACTATTTATAGAATTTTTTTTTGTACTTTTCGACAATTTATCTAGTTAAAATCACGTGAATGGCTTTAAAATGTCTGGTGTAGAGAGTGGGACAAAACAAAACAATAGAAAACTTACTGAAGCTGGGTCCTCCATGTCCATGCACTGGGTCTCTTGGTCCTTAAGAGGACACAAATCTGAGATTAATCAAGGTAAAAAAAAACACATGATAAACAACACATTAACACCTCACACAGTGTACATTTCTTAATCCATGCTCCCTCTATTTGCCAAAAGAGCAGTACCATTTTTAATTTTCTGGCCACTGTATGTAGAGATATGATCTCAGGAGCATGACAGCCTGTGTAATTATCAGAAAACAACAAGCGTGTTAACACCCTGTCTTTTAACCGTGACAATGTGTCATACCGTCTCTGGTTGACAACACAGAGGACGAAAAGAACCTGATGTTATCTTAACATACAAACAATGCAAAAAAACAAGATTGGACACATTGTTGAGACACTGCCTTCAAGTCGATGTTGTGCTTTGGTTTAACCACCTCCCTTCTCACAGTGTAACATTTCATTGGTTTTGTTTGTTTGTTGATTCAACACAGCCAATAGGATGGGCCCTTGTATTTTATTTTAAACAACATTCATTCAAAACATTTTTGTTGAAGCATGACCAACTCTTCGAACCAAGTCCAACTCATTACAACACAATCCCTTTTTTTGAGTTTGTACACCTTCAACTGACACAGTAATCCATGTCATTCAATCCCTCTACTTCTTTTCACACAGCAGAAGAGAAGATTCTTTGAAATGTTCACAGGAAATACTTCTCATTCTCAGACTGATTTAAAAGTGTTTTTGTTATTTAGTACAACATGACCCTCTCACAAAAACAACTTCCATTGTTGAGGACCTTAGGAAATTCTAATGTGTCTTAAGACCTGTAACCTTTTCGAAGATGGACTGCGTCATTGGCAGGTTGTTTTACGCCAGCTTCAGGAACTAAAATGTTCCTACTGTAAAACAAGACTTTGCATTGTGATGAGAAGCCGAAGCCAAACCTCTTTCCATCAACGCAACTTCAGAAATGACTGTGAAACCGGAGCAACACTTTATCGCAGCAACACAGAGGTCACATACTGAAAACCTGTGATTCTTCTTTACATTCCAGAAATGTCACTAAGCCCACTGCACTATTCTTGGCATCATAGAGGATGATGCATCATTGCCAAGAAAAAAAGCCATCTTCAAAAGGGACACACCTTTTCTCAGATAAAACCATGTGACTAGGAAAAATGTGTCCAGGTATCAAAGATAAAACTCTAGATTTCAAATTGAATGGCCTCGTGTCACTATTTAAAGATACGGAGGTTGCTTCTTCAATTCATTTTTAAAGCCTTATATAGATAAAAAAAAATTCTATCTATAATAAAGTTCATTACAATAACACTTTAACCCCTAAAAGTTGAACAAACATTTGAACTGTAACTACACGCTCAAAAACTAATAAAGCTAATGTTGTTTTCTTTTGAAAGACACCTTTCTTTATTTCTTTGTTTGATGCTGCTTTTATTTTTCATCTCCTCTATCCAGGACTTATAAAGCAGAAGGTACAGAACCACAACTAGTAGGATTATGAAGGATGCTTTCCACAAAAGCAATAAACTATTCCATCGCTGCACTCTCTCTTTTTCTCTTAATTAAAAGCTGTATCCTTTTATGGAGAATGTTATGTTATGCACTTTCCAAAACAATGTCCTGCAAATACTTCTAAATAAAAGTTTGGTAACACTTTATATTAAGGTACACAAGTTAACCATCAACTAGTTGCATAACATGCATATTAGCAGTTTATTGGCTCTTTATTAGTCATTATAAAACACTTATTAATGACTTATTCTACATGACCATATTCTATAAGTAATAAGCCATTAGTTGAGAGTTTTTCCTCAATAACCCTCTAATTAGTGCTTATTTATTGCAAGTAAGGAAGTTGTTGTACATGAGTTTTGGTCTTAATATGCTCTGCTCAATATGGGCCTAATAAGGCAGTAGTACCACAAGAATAGTAATTCTCCCATAATAACACTTAACAAATATGATCTATTCTTATGTAACAAGACATGAAACTATAAGTGTTAATTGTGTCTAAATAACAAAACATTAGGTATTTATATCTAAGAATATGTTTTGGGGTATTGACAGTTCAGCTACCAATAGCAAGGTGATATTGACCTGTATGTTTCATATTTGCATATTTATATTTTTGTAAAATTTGTACTGAAGGTTAGACAGGAAACCGGGTACAGGAAGTAGGAGAAAGTGAACTGAATAGCATGGCAGTAGACATCCATGAGTAGACTGCTACTAATTTTCCCTATGCAACCTGAAGAGTAAAAGGGTTGAGTCCGTCAGAAAGCAATGACTGTAACGGCCCCTACACACGGTGGCGTGCGTTGACGCTTGCCGGCGGGCATGTCTGAAGCTAGAACAACAACAAATCACCAGAATCTCCCGCCCCGGACACACAAGCAGCGGTTTGATTGGCTAGAGCTTGTACTGGCATATGATTTGATTGGCTGACGCTTCCGTCGAAGCTTCAAAAGTAGAACATTGTTCTACTTTTGAAGCGGGCAACGCTTTGCTCCCACAATGCAGTTTGGCAAAGCGTGACGTCACCCCATTCAAAGTGAATGGGCAGAAGCGTTGAAGCGTCAACGCACGCCGCCATGTGTAGGGGCCGTAACGCAGCGTCCACACGGCGGCGTGCGTTGAAGCTTGCCAGTGGGCGTGTCTGAAACTCGACCAACAACCAATCATATGAATCTCCCGCCACGGACACACAAGCACGTGGTTTGATTGGCTAGAGCTTATACTGGCATATGATTTGATTGGCTGACGCTTCGTCGAAGCTTCAAAAGTTGAACATTGCTCAACTTCTGAAGCGAGCAACGCGAGCAAAGCGAAGCGACGCGAGCAAAGCGACGCGAGCAAAGCGACGCGAGCAAAGCGACGCGAGCAAAGCGAAGCGACGCGACCACAATGCAGTTCGGCAAAGCGTGATGTCACCCCATTCAAAGTGAATGGGCAGAAGCGTTGAAGCTTCAATGCACGCCGCCGTGTGGACGGGCCGTAAGTGTGAGCCTTACACTTACACTGTAAGGATTAGTAACATATATTTTGTTTATGTGATGTCATTTGGAGATGTTTAAACACAATGAGAAAATGCGTTAGCATTCGCGCTAGCATTTGCATTAGCATTCGCGCTAGCGTTAGCATACACGGTAGCGTTAGCATACATGCTAGCGTTAGCCATACTAGCCTATATACATGCTTATGCACAGCTAGCATTAGCTATATTTACCTTGTTTACACTTAGCGGTCCTATGTGTTAATCTGTGTATGTTACACTTGCATGTATGAGATCATTAAGTGCCTTGTAACTTATTTTTTTATAGTTTCACTCCGTTTGACTGTCAGTGGACTGCAAATAAGTCAATAAAGGAGCATGGCTGCTCATTCCCTGGCTCTCAAAAGAGTTTGGCTGGCTGTTTAATCTATGTTCACACTGAGACAGTACAACACATAGAGAGAACAGTACACCTATTGTGTAAGTACATACAAGCAGGTCACACAGTATGATCACAAATACATACAATCTGTTAAAAATCTGTTTGTATTAAAAAGTACAGGCTGCATATGTGTTCTCAGCCTTGGAGAAACTTGACATGTTTTGGTATGTGTCTGAACCTCTCTACAGTGGTTCATTAATAAAACTGATATTTCAACGTGTGCCTACTTTGTTCATGTACTGTTGAGGTTAATTTCAGTAGTTGTGTGCTATAATGTATTTACAAAGTGTGAAGAGGAGGCAACTTTAGAATAGGGAACCTGTTCAGGTCAATTAGAGTCAAACTACTAGCTTATTGGTTATGAACAAGACTTCACTTTAAAATAGTGAACATGTTCTTAGATATAAATACCTGATTTTAAGTTATTAAGACACAATTAACACTTATCGTTTCATGTCTTGTTACATAAGAAAAGATCATATTTGTTAAGTGTTATTATGGGAGAATTACTATTCTTGTGGTACTACTGCCTTATTAGGCCCATATTGAGCAGCGCATATTAAGACCAAAACTCATGTACAACAACTTCCTTACTTGCAATAAATAAGCACTAATTAGAGGGTTATTGAGGAAAAACTCTCAACTAATGGCTTATTACTTGTAGAATAAGGCATTAATAAGTGTTTTATACTGACTACTAAAGAGCCAATATACTGCTAATATGCATGTTAATTAACAACTAGTTGATGGTTAATTTGTGTACCTTAATATAAAGTGTTACCAAAAGTTTTGTTTCAACAATCTAAAGGCTCTTAGAGGGGGCTTTTATTTTGAAATTGATTTTTTTATAACACATTTTTCACTCTTTCTTTCTTGTTGTTCTTTAGAACATGGATACCATAGTTATGTTGTTACTACAATCTTAATGTTCTGAATTGAACTGTCAATTCGACCATAAAGACAGTAAACTCTGGCCTCTGTATATCCCCTCCTTGTCTAGCACATTCATACAACATGTTATGGTATAGTTTGCCTGAACACCAGAACAGACAACACAGGTCCCTCCTTCCTGCAGCGGTCACACTTTACAGCCACCACGGCCCCTGGTAGACCCCCCACACATATAACAACTAGACTATAACAGTCCTGCTGTGCAAAACTACTTATGTGCAATATATATTTACCGTAAATAGCTGTGCAATATATACTTTAACCTTTAATACACCTGACTGCTATATATCTATTCCTAGTTATTATCTTTCATATATTTGTATGCATGCTTCTTTGATGTAACAATTGTACATTTCCACTCTGTGGGACGAATAAAGGTATTCTGATTCTGATACTTTTATGTAAAGCTCCCATTTATATTCACAGAAACAAGAACACATTAGATAGATTTTTTTAAACATTAGATGCATTTTTTTAGTGATTATACACATAATGTTTGAGCACCAAATGTAACAAAAACTAAGCTTTCAAATCGCTGGTGAAGTTTATAACTGCAACTGCACATATTTAGTTTCCACACTTAACCCTGCTGCTTCAACCAAAATCATAATAATTTTTACTACATACTTTATATAGTATATTC